ATATATATATATATATATATATATATATGTATGTATGTATATATTAAATTTTTGGATTAAAATATGTGTTATAATCTTCACTTCAAACATTAGACAAGAGAGGTATTACTGTCATTGTCATTACAATTTGTTTTTCTATCATGTTCAATGTCTACCAAACACAATCGGAGAATAAACTGTCCAGTTGAATGCACTCCAAACATAGGACATGGCAGTTATTTATTCAGCTCCAGTTTAGTCTAATTAATATTGTCCTGCACACCAAACATTACCTTTGGAAATTATGAAATCTAATGGGAGGATTGGTGGCAATGCAGGATAAACAGCTCAGGATTAGCTGAAGATTAAACTTCGCTTGTCTTGACGGGGAGAAAGGGATGGCAAAGGAATGAGAAACCACACCCATCCTCGGTTCCCAACAGAGAAATCAAGTTCCAGAAAATCTGTAGTCTCATGATTGTTGTTAATTGTTCGAGAAGTCAGTGTCAATCTGAAGTTCCATGATTGTTGTTAACGTTCCACGCACGTCAATTATCATTGTTGATTGGTATTTTGCATCAAACGAATTTGAGCTATCATGAAAAGCTTTTCAGTAAACAAGAAATGATGTGCCTTCCAGAGTGCAGAAAGAGTAGATTCAGCGGGTATCGTGCCATCTTTTCGTGATATAGATGTACGATGTTTGACAAAAAGTCACGGTTTGTTCTCTTTTCTTCTAATTTATTCATGATTCAAGGGATCAAAGACTTGGTAAAACCCACTTGACATTAGTCCCAAATAGTAGGAATCAAATCATGCTTGCATTTGATTGAAGGAAATAGCATTGGACTCTGATTTATATATTGTACGTCAAAGCAGCATGTAATTATCGGTCTCCAAGAGCCTGTTTTCCGCATCATCCCGCAACCTGAAACTAGAAATGAGAGAAAGTAAAAGGATGGAATTATCTTCCTAGAAATGCAGAGGTGCGATTAGTAAAATCACGTTGGCGCAAAACACAAATTAAATGAGAGTTGCATTTCCACCTGATGAACCAATTGGTTAACACATAATGTGTGCATAAACGTATCAAGAAGTCTAGAATTAGTTTCTGCCCTTTCCTAAGACCAAATGTCTCCAGAGTACATAGAAACTGAATTCTAGGGCCTGGACACCGAGGGAAGATTTATTTATTTTTTTCTCCCTCGGCACATCATAAATTTGTTCAGCAACAAAAGTTTCAGAGCAGATAAGCAATGACCATATGATGGCAAGTCGAAGAAAATCCTCATATTAAAAACTTTCTTGCCCAGCAAGACTATCGGTAGCCCATTCCAGCAGTCGTGGAAGGTTGCACAGCACCCACTGAAGCGTTCTTACTGCCGAGCCCAGAAGAAACTTTAACCATAGCGGGTCTTATTAACCGATTCACAACGAGAAATCCAAGCCTGAATTCTTGAATCATAATTCCCTCTTTGTATTCCGGAGACTCTTCACGTGCAATGGCCTCATGAAGCTACAAGAAAATAGAGGCAAACTCAAGTATTAACAGAAGCCAATGTTGAATATGTTCAAGTGCTGAGACCCATATTACTCAAGTTTACAAGCATTATTCCACCCTTCCCTCCCAGAAGATATACATTCTACTCATGATTCTGACAAAACCATATATAATATAGGCTCATAGGGCCAAAAAAAAAAAATGGAATTCCTTCAATTGCACAATCATAGGTAGCACTATGAAGATGACTTTCTAATCTGGAAGTAGATCTAGGAAGCAGAGGTTAGCAATTGAACCGCTAATCAAAATCTTGAACTTCCCCCAATTCCAAGTTATTTTCAATTTGGAAAAATATCACTTGCAGTCCAGATTTTAGTTGTTTTGTTGTTTGTTTTATTCATGCATAGACCGATATCTGGAAATCATTGCAATATGTAGAGGCAATAAAAATAGAGGACCCAGATTAATTACAAGCCTACGTGCTATCTCATATCCAGTGTTAATCATCAGCACAAACAAGAAAAGGCATCGTTCATAACACTAAAGTACAAAATGAAGCAAACTCGAGGAGTTTTCACTTACCGAAGGATCAAAAGGCTTTCTAACCGTTGGCACAGCAGCTTCCAACCATTGACACAGCAGCCACCTGCAAGCTCCTCATAATCTCCACAAAATGCTTGTATATACCCTGGTAAATGTATCAATCTTCTTTTCTTTATCTGTTTCCGGCTGTACTTGTTGCTTTGCTCTCTCAAAACTGTCCACCACGGGCAGCAGGCTCTCAATCACTTATCCCTGGGCATCACTCCTGACGTTAAGCTTCTCTTTCTCCGTCCTTCTCCTAAAATTATCATAATCTGCTTGCAAACGGATACATTTCTCCTTCCCAGAGGTTATCTCAGCCGATAAAGATGACACTTTCTTGACTAATTCGTTATTGTCTTTTTCTATGATGCCTATCTCAGCCTCAATATCCAACATAGTCTTCTCATATCCGCAAGAAATAGCCTGCCAGTAAATCTTCAAAAGGTTCTTCAGACCGGGTCCTCGTTTCTGACCTTCTTCCTTCTCATTTGTCTAAATAAGAAGTAAGGGAAAATAAAATCACAGAATGATTTGATAAGAAACTCCCCTTTATTTCCAACAGAAAACAAAACAAAATAGCAAAACTGATGATCTTGGTTGTTTACTTCCATTAATAAGAGTGAGTGGAAAATGAAGAGAAAAACATACGGTAGGAGGAGGAACAGAGTCTTGAGGTGCAAGAAAAGCCTTCAAAGAACGCCTCTTCTTGCAGTTAATTGGGATTGGAGAGGAATTCGGGAGAAGGGAGGCGTTGGTGGGTTTGCAGAGACGGAGGGGTCTGTGGAGGAGAGGTTGAAGGGATAATGATGAGGTTTTGGTTTCTAGGGTTTTGGAGGGTTTTGAAGAGAAAGGAGGAGCGGAGAGCGAGGATGAGCTAAGAGAGTGTGGTGGTTAGAGAGGGAAATAGCCATAGAAAATAGATGATTTATCCATGGGCTGTAGCTCTCTGTTTGAATATGAGGCAGTGGAGTCCTTCAACCCAGACCTGGTTTGGTGGGAGACCGGCTTAAGATGTAGATGATAGATTTTGCTCGGGTTATTGAATTTTGATTGGGTTATTAAAATTAATTTTAATTTGTTTATAAATTAAAATGATATTGTTTTGGTTAAAATATTAAATAATTAATGAGTTATAACAAAGTTTTTAACCGGTCTTGTTACATCAACTGAGTTTTTGATTTCTTCTATTTTTTTTAAACCTTGCTTGATTCCAATCTTGAGTTAACTGGATCTCAAATTCTGAATTAACCTATCAGGTTTAGGTTTCTTGTTTGTTTTTATATTTAAAAAAATTAAATTTTTTATTTTAAAGTAATACTTTTTTATGTTTTTAGATAATATTGATATATTAATGTAAAAACTAAATTAAAAAAAATATTATTTTAATATATTTTCAAATAAAAAAATATTTAAAATACAAACTCAAAAACATTATCTCTAATTTTTATCCAAAGATGACTTTAATTCATTTCCTTAAACAATATTGTCGTTCAACATCAGAAAATCATGATTCTTCCCAGGTTATACTTCCCATGATTTACCTCTACTTATTTTTTTAAGTTATAATAACTAGATTACACGCACGTGTTAAGTTGCAGGATAGAAAGAAAAAATTATCTTTTATGTAATAAAAAATGTTCAAAAAATTATTTAAATAAAAAAAAAATCATGAATAAGAAAACTACATTTTTCATTAAAAATCTACATATTCTCTTTTTTTAATTCAAAATATTATAGTTTTTACGAATATTATTTCATAATTGCTGTTGTTTTTTTATTTAATAAACCATGTTGCTAATAAAAAATAAAAACTGTTTTCTTGTCGAAACAAAAAAAAAAATCATGAACTAGAGAAGACGATTTTCATTGAAAAAAATATTTCAAAATTTTATTTATTGTCTTTTTTTACAAATTTGTATTTTTATAATTATATAATTAAATAAAAAATAGAAAAAAATGATCCACGCCCACTCAACTCAGCTGGCATCTACTAAACGGTAATGGCACTCAACTGTGATATTCATGTACGTATCCTGATGAAGCAATCATTCTCCAGGACCAGCAAAATAAGGATCTACCGCAATTCAATTTCCAGGTCAAAGAAAGAAGGCAACAACATGCAAAGGCCACAAGAATATCCAACACTAAATTTTAAACATATGCCAAGTCAATTTTCGTTAGTTCTCAACGTCAATTTTCTCAACATCACTAACTAGAACAAACTAGCATACACTAAAACAACAGAGACCAGTTACTACTGCATGGGCCTCCTCAGAAGTCAGCTCCCTGCATGCAGATAGAACCTGCAAACATGATCCCACAGAGTATGTGTCAGAAATGGCTTCTTGATAAATAAAATAAAATAATTTCAGACTGAAACCGCACAAAGGCCTATTTGTTTTTCGGCTCCAGTTCTTTTTCTCTACGCTAATCAAGAACAGCAAATCAAGCACTGCGAGCCATAATAAAGCATTTTAATTCATCATTTCTCAATAAACAAGGCAAGTCTAGCTATAAATGTGGCGCTCATGACAGGAGAAGAGAGTAGATATTCTTGTCCTTTTGGATTTAATACGTGACAAGTCTGTTGCCCTCACCCTTTTCCGTGACAACCAAATGCCAAAAGTGATTGAAAATAGTTGTTAGTCTTTTCCTTTCATTTGCCATCAATGGAAACTATTACCCGACAGTAAAATAAAAACCGTCTTTGGCATATCAGGAGCAAAAGAGAATCTTGTCATTTGTGGGTCATTCGCAAGAAAGCTGTATCATGCAGTTACAGTTGCTTCTTAATAGTAAAATATTTGCAAAACTTGTTATATATTAAACAGGAATTGTATCATCTGATTCCCAATTACATGATAAAATCAGGAGATTGGAAGAAATCCTTCGGAATGTACATCACCGAACTTTAGAATTTGAACAGATTCTTCTAGTAATGACCATATAGCATGATGCTTTTACTACACAGCAATACATAGAAATCCTTGGGAACTTTGTTTTGCATCAAAACAAATAAATGGTTTTGACTACTCATTTCAGCGCAAACTATTAGAAAAAGAATTAGTTCTTCAGAGGCATTTGACTGGCTGTAGATATCTTTGAAAATCAAGACCCAAGAAAAAAAATAGTGTATGGTGTACCATGTGATGCTTCTGAAATCTAAAGAGCCGTTTATTTCAACTAATTTGATTGTCACTATTATATTAGAACAGGACCCTTACTCCTCAATGGACACCATATTTACCTTCTAATGAAAAAAGAAACCTGCAGATTATTTCAACAACAAACAGGTTTGCTTAGGAATAAGTTAAAGAACGCAAAGATCTAAAGATATCTATAAATCAACGTAGATACTGAACAAATGTAAGGAGAAGTGTCAGTGGGGAATTGCTCACACTGGAACCACAATCTCTAAATCTAGTGCAAGATTAACATGTGCATGATACATGAAAACAAATTCCTAGGGAGCATGATACATGAAAAGAAACATGACAACAATTACTGTAATGACATTAAAGCTAAATGAAGAACATTTGAGATAAGGCTCAATTAGTTGAAATTGCATGGCAGTAACCATATTATAGGAACTTGATCATTAATTAAGTATTTGTAAACAACTAGCCAAGATGCACAATCAAATTTAAAGAAGTAACATTCCAGGCAAGATTAAGATAATAGAGTTTGTGGGGTCCAATCACAAAAAACATACCTGCACAGCTACTTATATGCATGCACTACAGAACTACTTGTTCAAGTAGGACATGCCTCAACAGGTGAAGCTCTTTGGCATTGGGCATCAATCCTGTTAAGTAGTTCTGTATAGGAGGAAGTCAGTGAAAGTTCCAGTGAATCAACACCTTCAGTTTCATTGCAACATTTACTGCTGTCATCCATGAAGCCAACATCATCAAAACCATTTTCAACAGGCTGGTCCATGTGAATGATCTTACCAAATAACTGTATAGAGTTAATTCCAACTTTCTTGGGGTTGAAGCCCCCGTTTCCAACAAAGCCTATGCCAAAAGAATATGCACTACTCTGGCTCTCAGGTGATAAGTTCTCAGACTGCAGACTGCCAATGTTCATCTCACTGGGCATTCTTTTCATCTTAGGGACCAAGTTGTTTCCAAAGGCCCTGTCACGGAACACCTGAGGAGCATTTTCACTTATAAAGTTGGATAAACCGAATGTGGAAAAAGGATCTTGCCTGGCTCCCTGCATGCCAGCAGGAAAAGTACTATAATTCAACATTGAAGCATTCATATGCCCCGTAGTTGAATTAGTTAGATCTGACATGGGAAAAAAAAGTTCTCCATCTGTCAGGAACCTAGAATCATTTGGATATCTCAATTTCTTCATTGGGGGGAATGCAGCTTGAAGCTGTGGTGTGGTTGCAACAAATTCAACTTGCCAAGGGCTCACTCTCTTTGCATTCTGCAAAACTTCAGGCTCATCCCAAGTAATCTGTGCAACAGAGAAAAAAACAGTTGAAAAGGCAGAAAATACGGTAAAAAGATCAAAAGTTCACTCTGTTATAATGAAGAAATTTCTGAATGTTAAAGCTTATATATCGGCAACTATATAACTGAATCATTAACAGATAGTCACTTGTGAAGCTCATTACTTGACCTAAAAGTTTTAGACACTTAAGAACTAAGAAGATAGAAAGACCTGGTTAAAATTACTTGAACTTCACAATCAAACTGCAGAGATTATGAAAACATAGACATAAATAAAATCAGAGAGAGGAAAACAGCATGAAAAAGATGTAAGAGAGTTAAAATAGCATATGCTGATATCCAACTTGCATGTGCAATTGAATCTTGTTCTAGCAATATTCTTAATTGAACCCCAAACTATTACAACATCTGCCTGACCTAGCTTTCTTGACATTGGGCAAATAAAATGGCCCCTATGAAAGGGCAAATGACTCATGGAACAAATCAGAAGTCCTTAACAAATTCCATAGCGATATTCTAATTTCAATGAAAACCAAGTTCTTAAAACTTTAAGAGGCACTCCTCCACAAGGAATTGAAGAAAACCTCAATCACGTTTCATAGCATATAGCTTGAAGATAAATAACGTAGCCTGGGGTAGAATGGACAACAAAGAAAAAAAAGGTACGACACAGTAGCTTAGCTGCACCAATCTATACGCCCTGAAAACTCAATACCCAAAGCATCAGAGCCACAGGAAACAGCACACAAATAAAATTAAGAAAACGGGGAAACTGTGAAAAGAATACCACTATTTCAAGCATCACCCAGAATCAGATATCCAATTTTTAAAATACATTGTTCCATTAGCACCAACTGTTCTTCATTTTCTCTGACATCGTTTTCATTGATTCTTAATGATTAATATACACTCCAGATATCATTAGCAAAAAATCGCAACAGGGGAGATTATCCTAAAGCATTTTTCTGTTCAAAATCAAAATTAGCAGGTAATGTTTGGTGCATATGCAAGCCATTTGAACTACTAAAAAGGATATATAATCATTTAGAATGGATGAATTTCTGCTACCTACCTCAAAAGCAAATGATCCCGTTATCCTCCCAAATCATTTATTTTCCATGACCATAAACAGTATAAAAACAATTAACCAATCACACTATAAACCAAACAAAAATGATAAATCAACAGATATATCATAAAATACATGCCTGAAGCATGCGCCAAGGAGAGCCACGCCATGCACCAGAGTCTGGCAAGCCAGTACCCGAAACGGTCCCCTGAAACCAAGTCATTCTAGAAGAATCCTCAGTCTCCATGGCCATCTTCACTCTCATCCCAGCAGTCCAAAACACACCAAGGGCAGCCTCCACAGCTTCAGCCCTCACCACAAAATCTGAGTACCAACCCGCCCTCGGATAATACACAACTTCAAACGGCGAACCTTTAGCCGCCATCTCCACAGCCTCCGCCACAGCCTCCTGGGACAACCTCCCTCTCCCACTCATCGAAAATCCCTCCTCTGCCTTCACTTTGCCCTCTCCACCGCCACCAGCAATCTGCTCCCTCCACCTGGCACTGTTATTAAGCCTAACTGCCCTCCTCACTCCAATAAACATCTCTCCCTTCAAATTCCTCATAAAAACCACCGAGTCACCCGCAATCAACTTCTTATTGTTCACAAACTTACTCCATCCAGTAGTTAGCAAGTGCCTGCGTGGCGTCCCTCGATAAATGTGTCTGAAATCCCAACTAATTCCGTGAATATCGGTGACCGTTAGAGTCTGAACCGGAGGCTCCGCCTGGTAGTTTAACGGAGGGAAAATCGAGTCGGCACAGAACCTCGGGACGGAGAAACCACCACCGTTATTCGCATCTGACGGCGTTAGAATCTTAGCGAAGGCCAAAATCTTATTCTCATCGTCATCGACGTCATTAAGACCTCCACCCTCACTTCTAGAAGGTTCTAGAAAGGAGTGCGGGAGGTTACAGGAGTGATCATTGAGAGGGAGAAGGAGAAGTCTAATGAAGACCTCATCGGTTACCGGATCGGCGAGGAAATCAACGGCGGAGATTTGGCAAGAAATTAAGGGTTTAGAGAGAGCGAGATTGGAGAGAAATGGGGGATGAGGTGCCGTAGACGATGAGGATTGTTCGAGATGCCCCTGAGGGAAGTAGTAAACCCTAGAATTAATGGTGGGGATTTGAACGGAGGATCCAGCGCAGGCTCGCCAGATCCGCGGGTCCACACGGCTGAGCTCCGTCAGTTGCGGCATTTGTTAGTTCGTTTGGGTTTTGAAACCGAGAGAGAGAGAGTGCCAAAGAGTGAAATGGAAACGGTTTATTAACATATGAGCTCTGCGTGTGTGCCTGTCTAGACTCTAGTCTCTACAGAGAGGGAGAGTGTTGCAGTGTTGCAGGGGAGAGAGTGCCGTCTCGACTCTGGAGGTTGAGTACGGGGAAAAAAATGTTAGAGAAGTCGAGGACCCTTTTCTTTTTTAATTGGTTACACACTGTTTTACGGTTTTGGCCACGACATTCTTTCTAACTAACTTCAGGACTTGCAACTATTTTACTCCACCACGCTATTAAAACCCCCGTGCTTTACACACACTCTGTCTCCTTTCTTTCTTTTCCATTTACTGAAAAAATATATATTTTAAAGTAATTAATGGTTGATGCGTGAAATATCCAATTTACAATATTAAAATATATGTTAAAAGGATGCTGATAGTTATTATTATAACTAAATATACTAAAATGAAAGGGTGTTTTTAACAGTGCTAAATATTATTCAAGCACTCACAAAGCGTTGTACACTAAACTAGCGTTATTTTAATTTTTTTTTACTTTGATGCTTTATTTTTTTTTATCGTGCCTTTTAGTTGTAAAATTAATACTCAATCACATGAATAACAACAAAATTAAAATATAAGAGACCAACTTAAAAAAAGTGTCAGAAATGAGTAGTGTATTTAAAGTCGGTGTAAAAATTAAACTTTAGTCTCCCAATTTATAAAATTAGACCTTCTCGATTCCTTATGTTTTTCTAAATTCAATTTTGATATAAAACTTTAATTTTATTATTTTTAAACCCCTGGTTTTTTAGAGAGAGAGATTTCATCGGATTTCAGCATGGAGAAAAAGAAAGTCACTATTTTCGTATATTTTGGCCATAAAATTTGCTAATGTTGGTGTTCATGAGTTTTATTTGATTAAAAACATTAAATGTTGGTTACTTCAAATTTTGATACTATCTAAAAAGTATATTAAAGATGAGGAAGAAAAATTTAACTTAGTTTGATTTCATGTTTCCATGCTATTTTTAGAGTTTTTTAGGTTGATAAGTTGATTTTTAAATATCGTGAGGGTATTTATAAAGTATTTCTTAGTTAAGATGGGTTGAAAAAAAAAATTAGAAAAAAATACCTCTGTGTTGATTTTCTAAACGCCACAATGGTCAAATTCTGGATATACAGGAAAAAAAATCTAAGAAAAAAAATACCTCTGTGTTGATTTTCTGAACACCACAATGGTCGGATTCTGGACAGACAGATAATATATCGTTTAATTTAAATTTTTTTTAAGTCATCTACTCCTTTAAAAAAATTAAAAACTATATATAAAGCCAAACGCACGTGGCTTGGGCTATCAGGCCCAAGTGCATGGGCTCTATTTTCATAAGCTCAAACACACTAGGTTGTTAGGCCCATAGACTTGGGCTTTGATGGGTTTCTTTTTTTTTTTCAATTTTTTTAGTCTTTATTTAGGTGTAACTTAATTTTATTAAAAAAAATTATTCCATCATGATAACCTCTTAGTGCAAATCATTGATTTTACGAGTTATAACATAACATGTAGGGGTTTTTTAATGCCTCCCCTTGGTGAATTAAAAAATATATAATCTAGCTTTTGTTATCATTGATTTTTTTTATTTACCTTAAAAAAATAAAACAATTGCATCATTTTTTACCGCTAAGCTTAAAAAAAAATGCACGATTCAGATTTATATAACTTGAGTTCTAAATTTTGTTTGTTGATTAAAGTTTGCTATCATCAATATAGTACGGCATATTTTTAAAGCTCTAACTCAAATTCTTTCACAACTCTTTTATTTGCTTCTAGATGCTATCCCATTTGTAATCAATTAAAACTTAATAAAGGTCATATTAGGAAAAGAATGAGAGAAGGAAAAAGAAAGATAAATTATCTAGACAGATTAACTTATTATGATTGTGTTCATTACCTAGTTTGTAAATTTCACATATTAACCCAAGTGAATGCAATTTATCTTTGTTTTTTCATTTAACTCCCTAGGTTTTTTTTTTGTAGTTTAATCACTTATCAATTCTTTGTTTTTCATATTTAAGCTAGAGTTAAACAAGACTAGAATAACATATGCGTTTTTCTTTTTCAACCAGATCATCATTTTGAGTTACACAACCAGTTTATTGTTTCTTTACTTGGTCAAACAAGTCAAACCAACATTTTTTTTTATTGTTAATGTTTATAGTAGTTAATTAATTTATTCGAATACATTGGTCAAGCTTGTAATCATCATTTCAAATATTTCATCACATGTAAGAAAAAATAGCGCGGTTTATATTTTTTTTAATATAGTTATATGGAGTTATTACAGTCTCTTTACTCATATTTGACAGGTTAATCTACGTTGACCCGAGTTATTGTTTTTGTTCTTTCTTTATTTGATTTTATTTTCATTTTAATTTTTTAATATTGGGTTGATTGAGAATTAAACTTTATAATTTATTTTTTTATAAGTTTATCATAATTTTATAACTCGAGTCGTGGGTTAAACTGATTGACTTCAAATTTTTTAATTGATTTTCTTTTTAATATTGAGTTGACTGAGAATTAGGCTTTATAATTTTTTCAGTGTATATTCTATGAAGCTTTCCTAGTCTAATAACTCGGACCACGAGCTTGTTTTGATAACATGAATGATTTTTTGTGTCATTTTAAAAAAAAAATTAAGTTCATCTTTCAATATTGAATTAATTGTGAATTAAGTTTTATAATTTATCTCAATATGCTATTTATAGAATTATCTTCATCTCATAACCCAGATTTGAAAGGTTAACCTAAGTCAAGTCAGCTCATTTTTTTAGTTGAATTTAGTTTTTAGTTTCATTTTTCAACATTAAATTGATTGAAAATCAAATTTAATAAAAAAATAATTTACTTTCTATAAGGTTATTAATGTCTCATGATCTGGGTAGCAGATTTAACATGTTGATCTAATATATTTTTGGTTATTTCAATACTTAAAAATAAAAGAAGTCATCTTGATTTTTTTCTTAGTTAAGTTATATATTTTTCGGTCAATCAGGTTATTTTTAGACTTATTAAGTCGATCAAATTACATCAAATTAATTCATGTATAATTTTAATTTTTCTTTATTAAAAACATGTTAATAATAATTGGATATTTTTTTATTTCCAGAAAAAATTTAACCGGATGCACAGTAAGGCATAGTATATACAAATATCGAACAGCCATCTAGAAAAAATAGTTTGTATAATTGGACATGTAGGTACGGTGATGTCATTTTAGCTTATATATATATATATATATATAT